AAAACGTATGTTTGCGATAGCAATCGACTACATTACTTATATTCGTATGATAGTAGGGTTTCGAGGCTACCAGTAAATCAGTGCAATGAGATGTATTCACACTATTTCGTATATGCAGGCATAGACAGCCATATTGGGAATGTAGTTGACATCGGGTGCTGCCATTCCTCTTCTGGCACCGCGACTTTCTGCTGCCGGCGCGTGTCGCCCTGATTGGTGAGCCTGTATGTGGGAGGAGAGCGATGGTGGTGTGCATTTTTCGGATGTTCTGATGCCAGTGACACTTTCCGATTGACTTGTGTGTAGGCAATGGCAGGACGAAAAGAATAAGTCTCGGAGCCATGGCGAGAGAGCGATAACAGGAGAAACCGTCGGCCGGATAGACTATGAGTAGGGCTACTTGCAAAGGCAGAGTGAAAGAGCGAGTGAGCAAGCGATAGGGGCAGACAGGGCGCTCGGATCTGCGAGATGATTGCAATAGGAGGGGCTAGAGTGTGCGCTGGAGGGCGGAGAAAATGCATAAATTAGAAGTAAAGTACGACCGGGTACGTTCGGCCCGGAGACTGCAGCTTGTACAGCAGGCTCGGCCAGAAGCCGGCAGGCTAGGCGGCCAGAGGAGAGGCTGGTTTCGATGCTCTCTTCACTTGCCGTATCACCACAACTCCAGTCTCTGTGGTCGTCCACGCGCATGTCTGCACCTAGATTCATCTCTTATGCAGCTCCGTCTGTCACCAACTACCTGTCTCCGTGCGCCGATAAGTCGTCGTGTATGCGTTTGTGTGTCCGAAGTGTACAGCTCGGAAGAGAGGGAAAGCAAAAAGCAGACAGAGATCCCGATAGCCTTGTAGGGCCAGATACACCAACACTCGCGATATTGTAGAAGCGCTTATATTGTACCGCTTGTGCAAACTAAAAGCCACTCTCACGTTGGACGAGGGAGGCAAAATTACATTTGTCCCGTGGTGCTTAGTTGCAGAAAATCCCAGCCCCGACTGACGGCGATCCGGAGCCAGTAGCAAGCTGGTGTATGTATGTATGTATGCGTGTGTGTGTGTGTGTGTGTGAACAAAGATGACGTGAACAGGAGAAGAGGCAGTTGCAGGCCAGACGTCTCGACTCCCTCGAAGTGGGCGGAAAGAGGTTAATCAATCACCAAGTGACACTGATCTACCAATACTGAGAGAATTTGTGAACCTTGTATCCCGGACAAGACAAATGAGTTTCATTTGCAGCTGGAGGACCGCCTTCGTAAGTGATAGGGTAATTGCGATCAGGGCCAACTGACTACTCACAAGCCTACTCAATGTGAATATGACGAATGCAGCACAAGTCTGCTTCATCGACACTCGCACTACAGAAAAGTGATATACAAAACGCCTGGCTTTCCTTGAAATTCACGTCTGTCCTATGACATCTGGCATAGTGGTTTTAACATATACAGCTTGGGTTCGAATCCCATTAGGGTGCGAGAAGAAGTTGAAAATATAGTCCATAATTGCCTGGATGAGAATACCATTTGGGAAGCAAGTCTATGCGAAATCCACTGGAAGCATGAGGCCTATTCATAGAAATGTGGGAAAATTTAACTAAAAATCTTTTTTCACCTTATGAATACAGTTATTAGTCCGATTGTAATTGCAGAACATCTCAGACTCGACTGGGGCGATCCAAAGCCATCAGCAAGCTGATCGCTCGACGTATGTCTGTGTGCATATTTATGTGAATTGGGCTCATTTGTATGTGTGTGTATGAATATATATATATCGATTCTCTCCAAGTGGAAGGAAGGAGGCCGACCACTCATCAAAGAACTCTTATCAGCCCCTTCCTGAGGGAATTTTCGACGGTACCAGTTGCAAGTTGAACTTTTTGTTCTGGACAGAACAAATGAGAGTGCTTTGCAACGAGAAGATCCCCTCCGAAGCCGAAAAGTGATTGTGATCATTATTCTCACCTCTCCTGTTCAAGACCAACCGACTACTCACAAGACTCAAGCAACCTGTCATGTTTATGGACAGAAACATAACTCAAAAATTTCTCACAACACGTTCCCAGAGTCGCGTGGTCACGAAAGTAATACGTTCAACCCTTAACCTCTTCGGCCATGGCTGGACCCTGGCTGAAGAGACCGACGAGACTTGGTCGAACGGAAATTGCAAAATGAAGTCTTAAGTAAGAATAAGTCACACAAGATGTTTTAAGGTGCTAGTTAAAGTTCCCTTAATTAAACGGCCACATGATCTCTCAATGCCATTGAATTTCACTCAGCCTTGGACTTGGAACTGTGTTATTTAACTTCAGGGGCAGTTTCACCACTACGCCATACAGCTCCGGCTACCATTAGCCCACAGAGTGGATGCAGTTTTCAATTCAAGCGAAGCATATCTTAATCTTCAGTTTCTATAATAATATTATGGTCAATAAAACTACGTTTTTCTTACTTTACGATTGACGTAATTATTATAGGCTCAGAGATTATGTCCCGAAAACGGATAAGAAAACCTTATGATGGACAGGAACACTGAAATGTAATAAACTTTTAAGGCTTTCCCTTCAGTGCATTGCGAGAAGTTCAACTATCGTTGCTAAAGTCACCTCTAGCGATCTAGGGTGATTTGAATTATTATCCCAAGTCTTCTAATAATCACTAAGACTAAAATTAAGCTCTAAGATAACTTTTTCTAATCAGGACATGGAAAATTGCAGTTTTTTCAACCCGTCATAGCTGTACAAAAATATTCTGTCTCCAAATTGCCAATTTCGGTATTGGCCAATTGTGCTGTCATTTTAAAGACTCAACGCTTCAAAGGAAAACATTATTATCCCAATCGGTGTATGTGGTACTCTAAGCCCAGTTTGTTGAACAACTCATATTGACTGCTTTTTTACCGAAATTTAGAAATATTAGCAATAGAGCAAGTTCCGAATAGGCCTATGAAATAAACATGTAAAATGGATTTAGTCATACAAACGCTAAAGACAAAAGTAGTCACTGCCTCAAATTATGTTTAATGAGTGGATTAAAGGAAGGGTGGCTCTTAAAGGGAGGAAATTTTCTATGGCCTGCTCGAAATGAAGGTGAGCTCGACCACCTATCAAGAGCTGCCCTTAGCTTATGGCAAATTTAGGCTTGACAGCTAAATAATTCACTCACATATTAATCCTCTCCAGAATGTCGGTGGTCACGTCAACTCTCCGCCCTTCGGATGGAGCCCACACATGGCACGATAATGCCCTCATTCTGCAGTACAACCGTAATGCTTATTCTGATATCCCTTCCTCCATTACAGGCATAGCCTTCGTCCAAACACTTGTACAAAGAAGGGGTAGCCAGGTCATACCATCAGCTTCATTCCATCATTGTTTCAGAAATACTGACATTTATTGTCTTCGAAAGTGGGTGACGAAGAGACCACGACACCGTTCGTGGTAGTGGATGTTGTGGAGAAGAAGGGCCATCTTAATTTCTTCTAGCTGTCAACTCAACTGTCATGAATGACTCTTATTTAGAACAAACATAATTACTGTATTAATAGCCCGGATAAGGGAAAGGCACACTTAATAAGAACAGTAAACATTGTTATAGCCCAATATTGAGACCGGGGTGGGACTAATTGGAACCTTATAAGTCATAGACTCGTGCTCATAGGTCAGGTGATGGAGCTTACTGAAGGGTGCTGATAAATCATAACTGGAGTTATAAAGTTCACTTCTAACTAAAATGGAAACATGTTTTAGTGATGGTGGCGTTATCAGTAATGCCAGTTTTTGGGAGGATTATGATAGTAATGAAGATAATTAGAATATTAAGAATTTAAATGGAGGCAGATCTCACTCGACAGAACTGGGCTTTTACCACATGGACTTTGATTTCAGAGTAGTTTTAGGTTGATTTAGAAGTGTGATGAAGCGCTGCTTTGATAGGTCCCATCCAGTCCGGTAATAAAATGGGTACTTGTTTTGATGAGTATTTGTTTGAGCATACCAACATGTTGAATTATCCGATTTATGAGGAATCCATCCTGTGTAAGGCCTTCTCCGCCTAATGCTGGAAGTTATGAAACATATAAATGCTTAAATGTGCATGTGGAAACGCGGATTGTTGCCTAATAGTATGTGTCTATAGTTGGCTTCGACCTATCCACGATTTCGGATATACCATCATAAGTGACATAACTGTCGATGTTAGACACTATTACGTAAATAAGGTATTGGTTACAGACTGCCAACTAGGTCTAGAAAATACGAAGAGGCTTTGCATAAAACTTATCTTTAGGCTCGGGATGCTTCTACAAGCACGACATATACCAGAAAGCCGAGACCAACCCGACTTAGCTCCCTTTGCATAGCCAATCAGTATGAGAAATACCCATAATTATGAAAGCACTTAATGCGGGTTCAATTTTACAGCCTTCCCCTAATCCATACTAATCTCTTTTTAATATACCTAAAAAAGCCAGCATAGTAACATAACTTTCAAATTGCTGGCGTGTAAGTATTCCTTCATCTTGTACATTTCACCGTTAGCCTTGGATTTGATTATACCTGATTATCTGTGCAGAGACACGAATACACACTAATTAATGGACTAAGATTAAACTACTATTATCAGTAGTATAGGGATGCCCAATATTTAAACCAGAATCGTTGACATTCTTTAAGCCATGCAGGTCCTAAGGGGTTTGGAGACTTGTACGCAACTCGTAACTGCTCTGCTTCTCGGTTCTTGCCACATTGCCATAGTGGCATTTAGACATGAACAAGTGTTTAACCTGTCGGATGTTATTAATCGAGCCCCGTACCTATTTGGCCGCCCAAATGCCTTATGCGCTATTGACTATCGGCATCGAGAGAAGGAGGCTATCCTTGTTTCGGATAAAAATCATACAAGAGAGGAGTTGGGCTTTTCTGTCCCTATATTACTGCCATGCGTCGTGTTCTACATTTGGTCACAACAGTTTTACCAATTACTTGTGCTAATCCCACTTCAACGGGAGCCACTTCAGCGGAAATTCCGCTCCAGTGGCTAACTCGGTCAACAAAGGTTTATCAAGTGCATGTATGCCCGGCCCTCGGCGGGACAATCTGACCCTCTAATGAGGCTGGGAATCCGCTTTTTTAGCGCTAAGCAAGCACAAGGTAGTTCATCAGGCAGACTGTCGAAAGGCCGTTGTTGTTGTAACCTAACGTAAAAAGTGATTGTGAGTAACGAGCTTTGTCAAAGTCATCGCTGACAGAAATAAAATGGGACGGTAACCAAAATATTCACTTGGGAAGTTGCTCCTTATACATTATTTTCCTTATGGGATTATGTGTAAGGCCAATCTATCCACGATGAAGTGGAGCAATGGCTTGCTTCCTCTCGTAACAACTCAAAAGAGTACTGTACTCATGAGGCGGACACCAGTGCCAATCTAATCCGTGAACCCACCATACTTAAATTAAGCTCTTCATTTTAAGCAAACTTAGCCTTCAAATCATTCCTTTTGTAGTAAGCTAACTCATTTTTCGAAGATATGAAGACCAAGATGGTGTGGCCTCTGGTGTGGTCGCAGTCTTCTTTCGATTTATAGAAGTGAGTTGATCTCGTTATTGCAACTTGGTCTTGTGATCGGGCGGCAGTGGGACAAGAGGTTAGAGACTAGATAGATAGGCCAGGAGAGAAAGAGGATTGAAAGTGTAACCGTTTTCGGCAGAACGTTTGTCGAGGGATTGACTTCACTTGTCTCTTTGACGAGTTCGTAGT